CGAGGACTGGGCCGTGGGGGGGGCGAAGCTGGCGCCGGGGGGAGGCTGCGTGGAGCCGACCAGATTAATCCCCAGGCTGGAAGCCTGCAGGCCCTTGGTTAAATGCCCAGAGTCGGCCTGGGTCTGAGAGCGGCCTAGTCTCTTTGGTCCTGCCGTGTCCTCCTGGGTCGGGATTTCCAGCGCGGCCCCTGGCTGGCGGGCAGGGCGTGTGCCCCCCACCACTGGAAGACCGGGGTCCGCTTACACAGGACGGGGACACGGCCAATGTGCTGGTGCCCTCGATGGAGAGCATCTGCCAAGCCTGGTGCTGCCGCGCCCCCTGAATCGGGCCCTGCCCCAGGCCTGTGTGGGCACCAGGCTGGGCTGCAGGGCACCTCCTCTCCCTGGGTCGCATGAGCCGGTGTCCCTCTCCCCGGGCCAGAGGCAGGAGGCCTGGGCCGATGAGATCAGGCTCCGGCACAGACTCTGGGCGGCGAATGAAAGACGGGAAAACACTTGTCTTCAAAACAGGCTTCTTGAGGAGCCAGGTCTCGGTCACGGGGCCTCCGCCCAGCGCCGGGGATGCTGCCTCCTGCCACTTGCTCAGCCTGAGGCTCCTGGGCCCCTCTCCCCAGCGCGCCAGGCCCTTCTCCTGCTGTGCAGGCCTTGTCTTCGGGACCGGCCTTGGGCCAAGGAATCGCAGTGCTCCATCCCCCTGGGGGCTCCGCTCCCTGCTCCCCTAGCCCAGCCTGGCGGCCTGTCCGCGTCTAACCAGCCCAGATCTCCTGGGTCGCCGGACGATCCCTTGTCCCAGGCAGAGCAACTGACCCTCCCCCTGCAGCTCCCAGCTCCCTGCCTTGCTCCAGGCCCTGCCTGTCCTGGAGCTTCCCTCGGCTGGGGCTTCTCCCGCCGCCCCTTTGCAGCCCCTCTGGCCCACGCGAACCCTTCTGGGCGAGTGCAGGCCACGCCCATCCCACTCCCTCTGCGGGCGAGCAGGGACCCTCGGGGGAATCCTCCAGGGGCAGATGCTGCATGGAGCCCTGGGCTGGGCTGGGGCAGCATCGGGGCCTGGGCCTGGCCTCCCAGCGCAGGGCCCTGCCGGGACAGAGGCTGCGGGGCTGGCAGTGGAGGGGGCTCAGGAGGAAGGAAGCAGCTGGGCTGGCGGCTGGCGGCGTTGCTGCAAACTCCCCGGGGAGGGGCGTTAATCGCTCTGGCCTGGGGCGCTGGCTGCGTCTCCCAGCTGCGGATGGAGCCGCGCTGCCTGGGCAGGAGCCGATT